ATACTGCTGACAAAATAACAATATAACATATCATATTATAACTGTAATTTTTTTGGCTCCCTCACAATATTGGAGTGGAGAAATTATCGCGCAAGAGGCGTTGCCCCCGACCCGAAATGTGCAGGTACACGTTTGTGTATAACTATGTCAGAGTGATGGATTGCATATCTTCTGTGATGAATTTTGGATTAGGGTGACGTGAAACTTGTTAAATCCTAAAAATAATGATGCCGTGACTATGAAAAAAGGGTATCAAGAGCATATTAAATCTCTTTTTCGGTATCAAATTACCTTGATTCATCGTAACGGGTACTTAGCTTTGACAGCCAGATTATGTCTCAGGTACCCAACATCTTATTTTAAGGGCCCATCATCTGTGATTCAAGAGTGTAATACTAAAGTGAGATGATACTTTTTTCTAAAGACATTTGTAAGTGGGTTATACTAATGGCTGTTTTTAATTTAACCAATATCTTATCCTTTTGGGACCCCTGGGGGCGGCCATGGGAGCCAATGGAAAACGCGTGAAAACACATTTATTTCACTGACTAAAACATTCAAACATAAATTATGTTATATAATGTGCTTAACCAAGTGATGATAGCCATGGACAATAAACTATATACCGCGGGCACATTCACTTTCCATTAAAGGGTTAAATGTCCCTTTTCTTAATTAAATGTGGGCCCACAAAATGCAATGCCCACTACAATATTGCACGTTGTAACGATCTCATAATAAAGAAGTACCTATAAACTACCTAATTTCGAAATTCCAGCTTTCTAGGAGTAAATTTGAATGCAAAAATTACGGCTTGAAAAAACATCTGGCGGATTTGAAAGAGTTCACAAAACAGTTCCATGCATGCCTTACTCCATGAATGTATGCTTCGAATTATACAAAGGCCCGGGGTAGATCCTAAGTTCATAAGGTTCATATTTATTGCCCTTTTAGCAATGGAAACTCGTCGTGTTACACGGTATTGCGATACACATATATATATAACATAATATACACTCATACAAAAATTAATAAACTAATTTTTTGAGTTGACAGAAAACAAAAACAAACAATTAACAATAAAAACAAAGATATAGTCATGCATCGAAAAATAATATACATGTTTATCAAGTGAGGTGGAATGACGATAGGATTTTACAAGTATTGATAATGTATTGCATTATTATTATTATTATTATTATCACTGCTATATAGTCTGATTATTATTATTATTGTTATTATTATTATTAACAATGGAAATTCGTCGTGTTACAAGCTATTGCGATACACATATATTTACACAGTCGGACTTAAAACTTATGGAAAGCCGTTGGTATCTTTGACAATACTTTGTAAAAGTTATCTTAAAAGGCATACAATGTTGATTCAAATCATGCGTATTTTCTATTATCAAGGAGATTTCATGTTCTTGACGTGGAATTTATAAAAAGTCTAAAATACTCGAATTTTCGCTTTTTAATATATTTCAGTTGGAGGCTACAAATGGCTCTCCATAATGTTTAAGTCGAACTAAGAGTTAAGTTCGACTTAGGATCTTTGTTAAACACCCCCGGGTCCCTGGATGAATATTCCTAAAAACCTTGATGTGGATGTGGTAGTTGTAGGCTTATAAAAGAATGTAGGTAGTGGACACTCGGGACAGTCGACTAGTGACAAAACAAACACAACTAAGGCTATATATGTATTTAGGACAAGTAGGACACATATTCTTTTTATAATTTTAAAAGTTTTTGTTGTTGTATTATTTGTTTCGTAAACTTGTGGCTATTATCTTTCTCAGTTGTCGCGCATTTCTTTTATGTCAATGTAAACTACCGTAATTCAAACATGTTTGCCGTATTGACAAAATGCTAAAATCACACCTCTCTTGTAAATGAGTCTTTCGCGAGCTTATTATTACCTCAAACAAAGTTTTTGTTGTTGTATCATTTGTTTCGTAAACTTGTGGCTAGTATCTTTCTCAGTTGAAAGCCTTAAAGGTTTGCAGTGTCAGGCATTTCTTTTATGTCAATGTAAACTACCGTAATTCAAACATGTTTCCCGTATGGACAAATGTAGAATGGTAAAATCACACATCTCTTGTGAATGACAAGGCCCTTTGTACAGTCTTTCGCGAGCTTTCTCAGTTGAAAGCCTTAAAGGTTTGCAGTGTCGCGCATTTCTTTTATGTCAATGTAAATTAACTACCGTGATTCAAACATGTTTGCCGTATGGACAAAATATAGAATGCTAAAATCACACCTCTCTTGTAAATGACAAGGCCCTTTGTACAGACTTTCGCGGGCCTATTATTACCTCAATGTACAGCATAATAATATTAATATCCTGGATGAGATATTTATCATTTTCTCAATTTTCTATCGAGACTACAAACAACTTTTCAAAAGGCAATTATGATAAGCAAATATCCATTTCCAAGGTACATGTACATGATGAACCTGCATCGGATCCGGCAGCTGCAAAATAATTCGGAAAGAAGTTTGCGCATTTGCCAATTTCATTTGTAAAAAATAAACAACATATTGCCAAATGTTGCAATACAGGGGTGGATCAAGATTTTTTTCCAAGGGGGGTCCAGCGGCGGAGCCCCCGGATGCTGTCGAGTTTTTAGCAATTCGACAATTTTATTTCCCTTTTTATCTCTTTTGTTCTTCTCTCTTTCTTTCTCCCTTTTGTCCCTCGCTCTCCGTCTCTCTTTCCCCCCTTTTTAGATCGCAAAGGGGGAGGGAGACGGCCGATTCCACCCCCTTCCCCGATACACAACTTCAATAGCAGCTGTTATCTCTACAGTTTTGTTACACAATAGGCTTCCAAAAACTCACACAAAATGATTGTTAATTGTTGAAAATAGTATTTGAAATGGTTATCATGCAGGATTTTACAGTCTGTTAAATAAAGGGAATAGTTGAATTATCATAGCTCATCTGTCAACATTTCAAGCATTATCGTTTTTGGCTGTCGTTTAATAAGGAGATAGATGGGGTCGCAGCTGTTAATTTCAGTTTCTCCTCGTGAAGCAATTGCCCAGGTATTATAACACACTGATTAAAACATTATAGATCTCATAAACTTTAATAAACTGTATTAAAAATTGTGTTGACAAATGCACCCAGTCACGAGACCCACATGTTTCAAGTATTAGTCCAATGTCCACGTAAGAATACACTACATCATAATTACGGCAAATTGTTTGTTTTATACGTCAAAGTACTAGTTGTCCATCGACGTACACAAAACGTATGTCATTGTTCTGTACTCTATTATAATGAACTACCTTTTTTCATCACAGCCAACTTTTTCATTAGAGCGATCTCCACCCTGAGAATAAACGTATGAATGTGAATGGTTGAGGATAAAACTTTCTTTGAACATAGATTCCTTGTCTTCTTCGCCTTATGGCTGTGTCGGGATACACATTTGCCCCGTATAAAAACCTTCAAAAATCTGTATTTTTTCTTAAGAAAATGTTCAATCATACATTCACCCTATAAAAAAATTGCAAATATGTTTGTATAGAACGGCCCCTGATAAAACAAATTTATTCCGTCATAAATAACTAATAAAACAAAAGTTTATGACATTTTCTGTAGAGTGCAACTTAGAAAAGAGTTCGCATGATACGTCATGAAGTTGCCAATTTGTGTTTCACTGATGACAACTTAAAAACTTCACAACTTTCCTAATTTTAATCTAATTTAGCTCAAAATATCATCAACTTGTTTCTTTGTTTTCAGCTTTTATTAAAATAAACTTGTTATCAGAATGGACTTCCCCGTTAATGAATAGGGGGGTAATTTGCCGGGGGCGATTGTCCTGGACCCATTCAAACCAATCGCGATTAATATCAATCGCAAGAAGGTCGTTAATAATATTTAAAACGGGGCCCTGGGCCCCGTTGCACAAAATTACTTACTATTGATGATAAATTTGCCATCCATGGTAACCAATGGCGGATCCAGGGGGGTTCGGGGGCCCGAGCTCCCTCCCCTGGGGCCTAAAACGTGTAAAAACACATTAATTTGACCCTTTTTTTTGCCATTGATGGCAAGCGGCCTAGATCTGTTAAAAGTAAAACAGTCATTCATAGGGTGCGTCAGATCGTTCCTGATGGCAAGTCCGCAAGTTACTTTTTTGGTCACCCGCTCTTCTCAGTTTATATGGGAGGAGCGGTGTCTTACCAATCACCAGTCACGTGTTGCGCATTGCACCAGTCACGTGTTTCTCGATCGTTCAATCCTCCTTTTGTCATCTTGTGACAGATTGCTGTGTTCACAAATCAATTTGAAAATCAAAAAGCTTTGAACAAGACTTGCAGGATAGGGTTAAAATCGAATCGTCGACATTCAATTTGTTTAGTTTTCCTGAGAAAGAACATTCTCTGAATAGCCTTTGTACACAATAAATTAGTGTTTTTGTTCCATATAAGTTAGTCATCGATGACGGAGCCATTTTGTGTACTATAACTTCACTGAATAATGTATTTTTTAAAAAACTTCTATGTGGGCATGCCTTGAACCATAATGCATGGCCCTACAGAGGAATTTTTCCTGTCGGGGACTGGGGGGAAGTGTAATGAATTATTACAAATTTATTGCATTTTCTTTGTTTTTTTATTTTTGTGGGGGCGTCGACGTACCCTATAGCGCCCGCTGCGTACAGTCATGATTCATTGGCTAAGCAATGGCCTCGTTACTGCGATCCCCCAGGATCAAAACCGTGTCGATGTGCTATATTAGTGCCCCTTTATGAGGCATTAATCCCCATTACTGTCAGTTATGACTTAAGGACGTAGGTCCCATAGTTGATTAGCACAGAAGCACACATATGCTTTAGCAGTCACGCAAAACAAACACTCCCCAATTGTCATTCAATACAATCTGAGAATGTACACTATTACCTAGATCTATTAGGAAGAAATCATTGTCAAAATAATTCTATAAATTGGGGTAAACAAAAATATTCCAACTTTAATTATGAGCGACAGTGTAGTTCCAACTGTTTATTCTCAAAGTTTAGCTATAAATGAAATGGAATATCTTACACTTTAAATGCTTCCCTTTCCGTCGCATTCGTCACCTGTATAGCTTGCTTTTCACATTTATTTCCGTCAATCCTGTGTTTCTTCCAGTCACTACAACCGAAGCCAACTGGCTTCTCACAAAACCATGGTGAACCAGTCGTTTCATCGGTAAAGTCACAAAATTCATTCTCCTTCTGTCCGAAAAAAAAAAGATAGAATATAACCATGGGTGGTGGTTGGCCGGTGCATCCACTCCCCTCCACCCCCTTACTCCTTAAAACGCTACAGAGGGATCGTGGACCTTATGGGGGTTAAATTATTAAAACACCCCCTCTTTTCTGGCAATCTTGGATTGGCCGTTAGGCCTTTGCAAACTGTAGCGCCGTTTCCACGCAGCATAGAGTGGGGCCGGTAAACGTACGCCCCACCGAATTTACAGAACCAGGGGAATAATCAATAATTACTGAGGGTCGATCTACTTTCTTAAAGGATGATGGATGCACATAAAGAAGAAGAGTCTCAAAAACGAAAAAAATAAGTATGAAAGCCAAACATTGTCATCCAGCCAAGAAATCTTTGTTTGAGGTGACCAATTTGCAACTCTAAATTTTGTCCGCTGTGCAACTCTTATATCGGGGACTTGTGTGACGTAAGAGGGAAGACCCGCCGCTAGTTATAGTGCATGTACTATGTCTATGTGCGTACGTTTTGCTTTTGATCTATTTTCTGATAGATCAAACCATGCAACGAATATAAATTGTTTTTTTTTGGGGGGGGGGGAGAGAGAGGGGGTAAGAGTACACTTTGTTTTTTTGTTTTTTTTGTCACGAAATTTTTTTAATTTTACATTTTGCTCCGTTGGGGAGGGGGGGGGGGGGTGAGGTCACTTTTTTAGGTCAGCCATCGGGATATTTTATTATTATTATTTTTTTTTTTTTAATACTTTTTTTTTGGCCGGGGGGGGGGGGGCACGTCCCTGTTTTTCGGTATATTTTGGGCGAATTTAGGGCTGATTTTATCATATTTTTTGGACGGGGGCACGTGCCCCCTGTGCCCCCTGGATCTGCCACTGGCACTATAAGACTACCATAGGCCATGTACTATAGCTTCTCCTTATATTGACACAACTAGTAGGTAGCTGGGCTAGGCTTTTCTCAAGGCACAATTATTTTTTGATAAGGTGTCAAATTAGGGTCTGTGCTTGCAGACTACTTCGAGTCACTCGTGGAGGCTTGTTTTAATGATTGTTTTTAATTGTCAGTGGTGTTTTCAAGACATTAATTGAATCTTGTTTATGAAGTGTTAAACTGGCATAATATTCTAGATTTGTTGGATTTCATTGATTAATGTTTTTCTTATCCATCCTCTCCCGGTCTGGGAAGGACTGTCTGTTTATTATTTTCTCGACACGGAATAGATTAAACATGTTTATTGACATTACTAGAAAAAGTACATCTTACTTGAACGTCGCTTGTTTTATATTAGTACCATCAGAATGCCCCCCCCCCCAAAAAAAAGAAAGAAACAGAAACAGGACTTACCATAGGTCTTCTTAGTTGAATATTGCAAAAACCTTCCTTTTGGGTTTTGTTTTCGGACTCGAATGCGCCAAAGTACACTATTCTTGGCTGGTTTTCAGTGCGTATACGATCCAAAACATATGTAGCTTCACTTGAATAAATCAAAGATACAGATATACTGATAACGCCTGTCCATTTAAGTGTAAAATAGGCATTATATGTTCCATTCCCATTATCAACAATCTCACCGTCAGTTGACGAACTAGCGGAGTAAGTTGAATTTGTGGTGAAAATCTTTGCTCGAAATAAGTCACCGCCATATTGTTTGGACTCGTTACGTCCATTTCGTGCGTATATATGCAACTCGAGTTCGTCACATATGAAGTAAGTTTCCTTTGGATTTATCAGCTCGAATGTTGTGAGAGTGTTGTTGGTAATGTCCATGTGGTTTGTCCAGTTGATTGGATGAACAGAGGGATAAGCGAAGTGAGGAAACTTGCGAGCTGTTCTGCCTGGACATAAAGAATGTTGGTTGCTCTGATCCGAGAATGACCGCATGAGAGGTACCGGAGCAGGCTGAACCTTAAACTGATTCATCTATGAGTGATAAAGAGGAACAGCCTAATCATAACAGGCCATGCAATGTACTAACCTGTTATATACATATGGATATTAAAGTTTCAATCACAACTTCATTCTTAGCAATAAATCCGCAAGCGAGCAAGCAAGTAAACCGAGCAGATTTTTATGAAATCATTTCTTTTTAAACGATGGCAAACGGGCGATTTTCTTCTTTCTTCAAAATGATAAATCACTATCAAATCAGTAAATAATCCACGAATTTTAAATAAGAGCATGTTATATCATATTTAGGAATGGGCGTATATGTTGATTTTATTTCAGATGGGCTCTTTTGCCTTGCCATAATATCAAATTTTTCTTACGAGCAAGCTAATATTATAGGTTTATTCCTTTTCTTTGTATACGTTTAAGTTGATCTATAACTACGTCGTACTACTAATACTTCTACTATTACTACTAATAATACTACTACTATACGTATGGTGGTGTCAGGCGCGTATGCAGGGGGGTGGGGGTTTCAGTGTTAACCCCCCCCCCCCTCTTTCATTTTTTTTATGTGTGTATTTCGGAGCAATCCCCCCTTGTGATTTTTTGTTTTGTTGTTGTTTTAATTAAAAAAATATTTAAAAAAAATAAAAATTATGCCAATGGCTGACTTAAAAAAGGTGACCTTCCCCCCCCCCCCCCCCCCTAAACTGAACAAAATGTAAATTTTTCAAATTTTGAGACCAAAAAAAAAAGAAGAGTGTCCTCTTGTAAGTAATACGTGATACCAAACAATAATTGTATGATGTTTTGCTTTGCAAATTATGCAATTCTTTTATATTTTGGGGATCGCATTTTTGGATAAATCAGTAAATCAGTAAACCCCCGATCCGACATCGTATTTTTTTAGATCGCAATATCGACGGAATCCTTTTACAATAAATGTTCTAGTTCCACCAATATTTAGTCAAAATTTAGTTAAATTGTTGCTGTCTTTTTGTTAATAATTGAAATAATTTTATTTGTGTAGAATATATAAGAAATCATGGATGAAATAATTTTATCAGATTCCCAATATCTTTTCTTAATCTCCACAAAATTTGGTCACCCTATTATTATGCTTTTACTACTACTACTACTACTATTTCTACGAGTATTCTACTAATATTTCTACTATCATTATCATTGTCATCATTCTAATGCAGCAAGAAACCACCCCCTAACAACAAAATAAAATATAAAGGTCAATTTTAAGGGACGATACGGTGTTGTGGACTCACCAGGAAATTATACCTCGAAGTAACAGGTGATCTCAAATACTGATAGTCACCAACTTGATCTAGAATTGCCAAGGCAACTAACACTAAAGTTGAAGTTAATACACAGATGTTTCTTGACTTCCCCATGGCTGCAATAAAAAAGAACAACGGATATAAGATTATTTTGACAATTATTCAGATCTATATAGTTCACCTGTGGGCACATTGTATAAACGTAAGAAGTATGGCTCGGTGTAAAAATGTAAGACGAAAAAATGTCAGAGGTAAAAATGTCAGAGGTAAAAATGTCAGAGGAAAAAATGTCAGAGGATAAAATGTCAGAGGTAAAAATGTCAGAGGAAAAAATGTCAGAGGTTAATATGTTAGAGGTAAAAGTATATAAAAAAAAGCATGTTACAGGTTGGATATTGGTAATTGTTGTATATTAGGCTAATTGAAAAAATAGTAACGAAGGATTCTCTGCAGTCATTAATTTCAGCGCTGCTTTATTTTCTTCTTTCTTTAACTTTTATTTACCTTAATTTTCTGCTCGAAATTGTGAATGTTTGCCCGATTACTGCCGAGGGGAGACAGGGGGGTGTATCCTTCTTTTGTGGACCCGGCTGCCTTTCCCTCACATGCCTTTGTCTAACTTAATACTCAACACAGAGCAAACTTCTGGAAAAGAGAATGTCTAACATCGAGTAGTTTGGCCATGAATTATAGGCCGAGTTGTGGCTCGATGGTGTAATCATTAAATAAAAATAAAAGTCACCACAGCTCCCCCCCTAAAAAAGAGGAGAATTTATCACGCTGTGAATCCTCCGCCCCCCCCCCCCTACTTCACCGTCCCTTCTGAAGATTGATGGACATTTTTTAACAGCGTGGCAATGACTACTATAAAATGTAATTTCCTACAAATGCATATTTCCAAAAATTTCACTTTCTTGTGGGCTTGATACATGAACTTTGAGACTTTGATACAATTTCCAAGCAAGAAGCCGCCCATGTTACATCTAATGCTAGCCGCACCATTACATTCCAGATAAGCGCGCGTTTTTTAGAGGTTCTGTTTAAGGCACTGGTTTTTTTTTAACTTATACCAAATGTGTCCACAAATGGGTCCAAAATGAAATTATGTTTACTCACTTCAAACTTGTATTTTTAGGATCAGGACTAATCATATTTTTGAGAAATGCAAATTCTGGACCTTAATCTATCTCCTTATTTATTCACCAGATATGAATTGAGTTTTTACAATTTTATTGTGAACTATAGCATATCTAATAACTGTGATATAAAACTCATTTGCCATTAACTACACCTTTAAATATGTTGGGTCTTTAAGAATATGTTTCAGAGATTATTCATGCAAATTGTTGAGTTTCTATCTTAAAAAATACAGATTTTGTATCCCTTGAAAGTGAAAAATAGCTCTAAATTAGGGTTTTGACAATAACAAGTTTTTATTTCAATAGGTAAAATGCTTTTTTCTTAGGTCAAACTATTTTATTATAACAACTGATGATAAAAGGTAAATACATGCAAAAAATTTGGGAGCCAGTGCATTGCCTAATAATTTTCATATGGCACACCACTGATGTTTCGGACGTTACACACTGTTAACATTATAACTTTATTCAAGTTAATTGCTTTTCTTTAGGTATTATTGACCTCAGTTACATTAATTGTTTGCAGAAAAATACTTCTGTAACATTTATGGAAAAAATTGTGCAGTTTTAATTAGTTTAGCACATACATGTATACCAAGTTTGTCTTCATCGACCACTCAATTTATGTAAGGTATATTATTCATTTCAAGAACGTGTACCGGTAGTTAAAAATGCTTATGTGATCTAACAGAGTGAAATATGAAGCTAATAGCAATTGTAGTCATCAAAACTCCTTAGAAAATTCACTTAGAAACATACTCTTTATTGCATGTTATGAACAACAGTGTGAAATGTATGCTATGGTTTGTTTCGGATGTTACACGATGTTAACATTTCAATGAGATCATCAATTTCTACAAACTCTACAATATAGATGTTTAATCAGCTTGCTAATGTTCTTTGCCTTCAACTATATAGTGTGTCATTCAATAATATCACTAACACATAAATGTTTGTAAGCACTGAAACATTGACAAATCTTTAAAAAAATAAAACTATAAAAAAAGTACCCCTAGTCATGTAAGTACGGTAATAAGAAATAAGTGAATCCTAATGTATGTACATCTCGAGAATGAGACATTTTTGATGTATTTTAAAATTGTGTATGTTTTAGGTTATAATACTACTGTAGTAACAATCATCCTTTACCACTATTTGTATTAGGAGGCTGTTTCAAACGACAATATTTTTTAAAGCTCTTAAATAAGTATTTATTTATTTATTTAATTGATGACCGATTGATGAATGGATGGATTGATTGATTGGTTGGTCGGTTGGTTGGTTGATAGATCTTAACTCTTGCTGTGCCTATATTACAGGTGACAAACAATATACAGTGTAGGTTAAACATGTACCGTATTTGCCGGCGATAAGGCCGCAGCGCCGCACCCCCAACTTTGACATTTCGTAGAGGAAAAAAATAAAAAACGGACAGCCCATTTATATTTCACACTAGTGTAGGGTTGCGGTTCTAACAGATAATTCCTAGCACTCTTAACACAGAGGCAGCCCAGCAGACATGATGTAGGATTGATAACTACTAGCTAACTGACCAGGTTTTAATGTGTAAAAGCATTACAGCTTCTATTTAGCATTCCACATACATTCCATGCAAAGTAGAATAAATCAATAAAAATATTCACATAGTCCCATACAAGTAAAAATCAACATCACAAAATATTCTTGCATATTCAAACATAAACAAAGGGTATATATTGAATATTCATAGTATATGTCATTTATACTACATAAGCTTGACTGCATCAGGTGAACATTGAAACCAATGAGAGAGAGAGATAGACAGATGAAAGGATGGTGGATGAAAAGGGTGAATGTGACTGAGGGATGACCTATTAATATGAAAGGGATGAATCATGGATATGAAGGGGAGTTTCAGAAGTTCAAAATAAATCCCTACACTAGCTTATACATTTTGTATGTATGCATAAATTTGAGGAAGATACTACATGTATATGTTTAGGATCATTAAATAAGGTATTACTGGTAATGCCCTTTTCTTTTATACATGTACAGTATGTACTTTCTACACAGATTAGTTACGTGTACTAAGTGCCCTTTATAAAAGGTATTTGTAAATGAAAATCCATATTTTCCATAAATTTTTAGAAAAGCATTTTAATTTGCTTGATTTTATCAACTTTATATACCTGTATCATACCCGTGTCATGTACATGTACACTGGGTATTGCTTAAGTGGGTGATTTTGAGCTTTTGTAACCTACCAAATAGTTTAGATTGACCATACAATCTTTGGTTATATGACATAATTTGGAACAACCTCTGTAAAAATGAAAACGTGATGATTTGCAAACACACAGCAATGTAAATAGCAAGAGGAGAGGTTGAAAAGTTGAAATTTGCTATTCTCACACCTATCTTTGCCCCTCATTTGAACTAGTTAAAGTATGAAAATGTCTGTTAACAGCTTAATGTAACATCCAAAACGTGCTACAGCATAACAGAAAGTGCTATTAAAATGGCTGAATAATTTTTATGAATCACTTTTATTGAGATTGTTTCTGATAAATTACAATTAAGGATATACTAAAGCAGCCAGGAATGCCTTGCCTCA